CGAACTGTGAATACGAACGCCCTTGGTTACTGCAAAATCACGCTTCGCAAGTTGGGTTCATAGGTGCCACTAGTATAATAGTGTTAACGTGCTCGAACTGTGAATACGAACGCCCTTGGTTACTGCAAAATCACGCTTCGCAAGTTGGGTCCATAGGTGCAACTACGAGTGTGACGGTTAAATTCACACAAGAGTAGCCTAAGAGTTGGCGGTGGGTGTTTTCGAATAGCTTCTTTCTCTTTAGTCTATCAGTTCAAAATTAAAGAAGGCTATGTATGCAGCTTTGGACGAAAATGCCCAATCAAACAGATAAGCAGCCTCCACCCCCAACTTGGGGTCGCCACATGTTTCACAGGGAAAGATAAGGATACCTTTTCTTTTATTTAGAAAAAGAAAGGTTGGTTTTATCATTCTTAAATCAGGTATTGATAACAGCATAATACTTTTGTGAAACCAGAAACGACTGTTACCACGCGTCAGAACTAATGAGATGATCATAATGCGTAACACGAATGAAAAATTATTAAGAACAGTAGTTTAATTACAGTCTGATTTATCAATAAAATTACTCAGAGTATTGACTCAATAACAACATGATTTACCACATTATCAGTAAGACGTGAAACATACTTAACAATATCACGTGATGCCATTTTATGTTTCAGGTCAACCGTCGATTGTCCAGTAAGAAGTGAGACATACTTAACAATGTCATGTGATGCAATTTTATGTTTCAGGCCAACCATCGATTGTCCAGTAAGAAGTGAGACATACTTAACAATGTCATGTGATGCAATTTTATGTTTCAGGCCAACCATCGATTGTCCAGACGGAAATGGCATTCCTTACTTTAAAGTCGGTCGATCCTGAAACTATGGTAAGTCTGGTTAATTCTTACTTTAAAGTCGGTAAATCATGAAACTATGGTAAGTTTGGTTAATTCTTAATTTAATTTAAAGTCGGTCGATCCTGAAACTATGGTAAGTCTGGATAATTGTTACTTTAATTTAAAGTCGGTCGATCCTGAAACTATGGTAAGTCTGGTTAATTCTTACTTTATAGTCGGTCGATCCTGAAACTATGGTAAGTCTGGTTAATTCTTACTTTAAAGTCGGTAAATCATGAAACTATGGTAAGTTTGGTTAATTCTTACTTTAAAGTCGGTCGATCCTGAAACTATGGTAAGTCTGGATAATTGTTACTTTAATTTAAAGTCGGTCGATCCTGAAATTATGGTAAATTTAGTTAATTCTTACTTTAAAGTCGATCGATCCTGAAACTATGGTAAGTCTGGTTAATTCTTACTTTATACACTCAACTACTGAGTATATTATACGGTCAACTACTGTGTACTGTACACTCAACTACTAAGTATATTATACGGTCAACTACTGAGTATATTATACAGTCAACTACTGAATATATTATACAGTCAACTACTGTGTACTGTACACTCAACTACTGAGTATATTATACAGTCAACTACTGAGTATATTATACGGTCAACTACTGTGTACTGTACCCTCAACTACTGAGTATATTATACAGTCAACTACCGTGTACTGTACACTCAACTACTGAGTATATTATACAGTCAACTACTGTGTACTGTACACTCAACTACTGAGTATATTATACGGTCAACTACTCTATACTCTACATTCAACTACTGAGTATATTATACAGTCAACTACTGTGTACTGTACACTCAACTACTGAGTATATTATACGGTCAACTACTCTATACTCTACATTCAACTACTGAGTATATTATACAGTCAACTACTGAGTATATTATACGGTCAACTACTCTGTACTCTACACTCAACTACTGCATATATTATACGGTCAACTACTGTGTACTGTACACTCAACTACCGAGTATACTATACAGTCAACTACTGAGTATATTATACGGTCAACTACTGTGTACTGTACACTCAACTACCGAGTATACTATACAGTCAACTACTGTGCACTATGTATCAGGACTCTGTGTACTGTACACTCAACTACCGAGTATACTATACAGTCAACTACTGTGCACTATGTATCAGGACTCTGTGTACTGTACACTCAACTATTGAGTATACTATACAGTCAACTACTG